AAAAAAAAAAAAAAAAAAAAAAAAAAAAAAAAAAAAAAAAAAAAAAAAAAAAAAAACAAGATGACTCCATCCAACAGATTGCGTGAAATCGAGGGTATCTACGTGCTGGGCAAGCCGGCGACCTCGGTAGTGGCGTTCAGCTCGCGGCACTTTCACATATACACGCTGTCGCAGCAGCTCAACAAACGTGGCTGGAACCTTAACTCGCTGCAGTTCCCGAACGCCGTGCACATGTGCGTGACCCTCGCCCACACTCAACCGGGCATCGCCGACACCTTCGTCAAGGACGTACGGGAGGAGGTACTCACTTTGCTCGAGATACCACCCGAGCCCATCCACGGCATGGTACGTATCAGAATCTTCGCAACGGCTGTTTCCTCGTTACGTACCTCCATGTACTCGATCTCATTTTCACTGTTGGCAAACGGGAGAAGCTAAAAAAAGTAGCGCGAGTTTTCTCGAGCCACCGGTTACCCACTACCTATGTACATACATATACGTGGCAAGACAGAGCGTCCCTCGATTTGTATTGCGTTACGTGGAAGCTCGTCTCGTCTCTTCGAATCGAATTTCCGGTCTGCGGTTTTTCGCGAATCCACGAAAGACGCGCTGTCGATTCTTCCCCGTGTACGGGTATCGGGGGATGGCTTTTCGCTCCACTGGAAATAATCGCGTCCGTTCGTTCGATGGATACTTGGGTACCTGCAACCACCTGCCCCTTTATTCTGTTTAATCATCATCACCCGTGGAGTGAACCCTTTTCCCGTGAATGTAGATACAAATGTAAAATAAAATAATCGAAAGTTTAAAGTGACCTCGCACCCGTGCATTGTTTCAGTACGCCGTGTACGGCATGAGCCAGGGCGTGGCGGACCGTAGCGTCGTCGAGGATATAACCAAGTGCTTCCTGGACTCGCTGTACTACACGCCCCGCGATAAGCAACCGGAGGAGAAACAAAGTACCGAGACGGCCAGCGTGGCATCAGCTGCCGCGGACGGGCTGTAAAGTGGAGTCTCCGATGGCGCCGTCAGCCGTTAAAACAACAACGATTCAGCCGTGCAGTCCAGGGATTTATACGTGCTTGATCGAGGAGGGCGTCCCGCTCTCCTATTGTTCTGAGCGTTGGTGCCACTCGGGCTGATGGCCGCCTTCAAGTCGGGAGTTCAAAGCGGGGATCGTTAAGGGGTTTAACGCCTGCATCTCGTTAGCCCCTGTTGTAACGCTTTCTTCCTTTTTTATCAATTGAAGGAGAAACTCTGACAAGAAGAGCAAATTTTTAATTATTTTTAACGAAAGAGTTTTTTTTTTATTCCTCGAAGCTTTTATATTAACGGTTAACTTTACTTTTCGCGGACTGGTGTACTTTCCTTTTTTTTTTTTTTTTTTTTTTTTTCTTGTCTCCTCCAAGAGAGGAAACTCGGCCTTTCTACAATACTGTGCAATAAACTTTATTTATACCTGTACTTGTAAGCTGTGACGGAATCCAATGGTGCGACGCACCGACAAAACATATTTTTGTATTGCGTATCGCGTGTCGAGCATACTTTTTTCTTACATACAAGTCTTTTAATACAATAATTCTACACGTGCATACTTATGTAGCTAATAAAAAAAGAAATCTAGAGAACTTTAAGTATTGTTATTGTTCCTGAATTCCACCGCATCACACCTATGCTCAAGATGTTATTTTTCTTCTGTGCAAACAAAAATGTGTAAAAATTTTATCGGATAAGCTTTGCAATCATGACTACCAAATTGGAGACGCTAAACTCTCACCACGTCATACTACAAAATTGGGAAACAAGAAAGAAAAAAAACCCTTAATCTGCAACGTCCCAAACATATCATTCCCAAAGTGTGGGGGTAGGTGCAAGGAGACAAGGGAAGTCGATGATAGCACCCACTCGTTACCGAACTTGGGGAAACAGTTGGGTCGATGTATGTACCATTTCCCGCAGAATACTCGTCTTCGACTCTCCGACATTTCCACGATTCACGCCGGCAAAGTTTACCTTCGCGTCGCGAATGAAGAGACACAAAGAGAGAGAGAGAGAGTCAAAGTACCTCTATCGGTCGCCGATAAGACAAGCGTCTGCCCTTACTTTCGACGCGTAATAACAATCAAAGGAAAAGAAAAAAAAGAAAAAAAAAAAAGCTTGCCAAGATGACAAGACAGAGCTTCCTGCATCTGCACACGCAATCCAACGTTTAACGCCGAACACTTTTTCACCAGCTATGATCTATAGTTGCGCAACTTTGACGGTAAGGAGAGAAAGGACGACGTAGCAGGAAGCCTCGGCCAGATTGCTTCCCAGCGGCACGCAAACGAAAAGAACGAGAGTGGCCCGTACATGTAACGTATTGGGCCGATTGCCTCGTGCATACCCGACGAGGGAAAATCGCGAGCGACGAGAATAACAATTAGCTTGCAGAACCCTCGACCACTAAGCTCACTCCCGCGTGCATTATACATTCAGCCAGTATGGGCGTACAATCGCTTGGCTCTCACACCTCTCGTCGGCCAAAGTGGAGGTTCAAGCTTGCGACGAGTCGAGAAGAAGAATTAGATGCTTCCGGTCACGGGGGATCCTTTGTGCAAAATGGGGAACAAGAAGATTTCAATCTTTTGAGCCGATGGAGATACAAAACACGGCAGTGCTGGATGATGCTTCCACGAAGTTTTATTTCGCCGTGTATATCGACATAAGGTGGCGATCACTCGCATCCAACGACCGAACTGGACTGATGGAGAAGAAGAAGATAAAAGAGATACACCACCATCGATAAGTTTGATCGAAATTTCTTGAGCGCCCAGGGAGTGTAACAGCCATAGTCCATATCTCCCCCCGCGTGCATGTATTTCCTGCGACTTGGCCCTACGTGTGTAGTATTGTGCGCTATACCGACACAACGTAGAGTATACGAAGCCGAGAGGCGTCGAGGAGGTCAGGTCGAAAGTGAGCTCGGGTATACATATATATGACTGTATATGTATACGTGGAGCGAAACCACTATACGTCAGCGGGATCGCGAGGAAGAGAGAGCCCCGACCGCGTGCCTATAGGGATTCTCGGACATTCCGAGCGACTGCATCATATCCGAGCCCGGAATACCGGCCCGTTATTCCTTACCTTCTCTCTCCGCCCACCGGTTTACCCATCGCTCGGCCCCACCTCGACATATATATATACAGGTACACCTCTGGGATTCACTCGCTCGGAAGCAAGTGCCTCGCACAATGACGTTGACGGGCACGACGAGGTGAGTATGAGATTTTTTACACGTGCGTTTTTTCAGCGCAGGGCTTATTGCCATGCAAGCAGGTGGGGGCATAGGGATGCGTGGGCGTGAATAATACATGCATATACTTACGAAGAACATGGGTGTTTGTACTAATAGTGCACTCGAGTAAACTCCTTTGAGAGGGGGGAGGGGCTAAAAAGCGCTTATCGAGGTAAAGAGGGAAAGAAAGGGGGAGGACTGCTTGCAATTTTTTTTTCGGGCCGACAATAGGGGAAACGGTTGGTTTGGCCAGAGATTCGAAACAAATTAATTAGCCCAATAGACTCGCGGGGGAAACGCGCGCTCCGAGGCTTTAATTAGCGCTTGCAGAATCCGTGTGTATACGAATGTAGAACGAGGGTGGGCTGCTTTGGGAGCTTATTGTTGCACTGTGACTCAAGTGAGCGGTAGAACGAGCCGCGGTGTACATATATATATATACGCGGGCCATCGGGGATCGGGGGGGGGAGGAGGAGGAGGAATTTCCACTGTTTTGCGTGTTTTCGAGGCGTTCCAACGAGAATGGGCAGCAACACGCCGCGCGCGTGTGTTATTGTTTTGCGGTAAACAGCTGGAACTGACTCTTGAAACGATACCGCCTTGATATTCTGTCGGTGACTGGCATTTCCAGCACTTTGTTCTTTATGTTCATTACTTTTTTTCAAACTTTGCCAAATTGAATTATTTTTCCGTAGAGTCTTACGGGGTATGTGTAAACACGCGCGCACGTTGCACCTTCACAATCCCCGAGGATTAACAAGTTCCTTCCGACGTTTATTCACCCAAGATGTGGTTCCTATTTTTCGGTAAACACCCTGTAAGTTACGGATCGCTTGTTTTCCCATCCGCGTATACAGTGGCTTGTTTGCCCCTCTCCAGGCACTGATGGCTCTCGTTTACTTTCGATCGGTCCGAGATTTGCACGGACCTTTTGGTATTGTTTCTCCTCGTTATAGTATACCGATGGGGTTTTCGATCGTGAAATACGTGGTGGTGGTGGAATTCCGTAAGAAAATCAACGATCGGCTTCAATGCTGATTACGCCATAGTCTACAAAGAGTAAGAAATGGTATACACAACGAGCGATACACGGGATACAGTACAGCGCTCTACATTTGCACCCTAAAACAGACATGTAAACTTGAAGGAAAAAGAAAAAAAAAAAAAAAGTTAGGAAGAGAGAAATTTACTGAGTATAGGATAGGTATGTGGGCCAGTGGTGTAGTGTTTTTTTTTTTCCCCTGTTCTACACTCCTGTCGTCATTCAAGCCAAGGAAGAAAGGGCGCGCGCCTCGTGAATAATCAAAAACGGGAGCAACCCCGAAACTCCCGCGCTTACTCGCGCACACAAGTCAGTACGTATACACACACGAGGGGTGTAGGTATACGTATGTGTGCGTGGTACTTTCCGGCCTCCTCTCTCCCTCCGGGTCGCGCGGAGCTTGCACACCCCTGCAGTTTCGGGGGACATCCGACTGATGCGCGCCCCTTATTTTCCTCCCTCTTTCTTTTGCCAAGCCATTTTGCATCGGTGTGCTCCAAAGCTCTCGCGGGTGCTTTTGCATTCTTGCTCTTGTTCCTGCCGCTTCGGTCTGAAATGACGTAGAGCTGAAAATCGGAATTTTCGTTGCGTGGATGTATAGTCGCTGGTCGGAACGATATTGCTTTATTCAAAGTGAAAAGGGAAAACAAATATGTGTACGTATAGGGGATGCTCTGCGCGATCAAGTCTTACGAAGCTGCGACACCATTGAACTTGCACCTCTTTCGCTCAAACGTTTTATCCTATATATTTCATATACATACTCGTATGCTCTACAAGTGATGTATACCTTCCGCAGGATCTCCCCTCTTACATGTTCATTATAATGCGAGCGTCTACGGCTTTTGTCACTATTGACGCTACTTACACTTATCTGCGACTTTCAATTACAATAGGCGACTCTGAGCACTGTAGGTACGCTTGCGTATAATTTAATGTTTTTTTTTTCTTTTTTTTCCATCACAAAGCCTTACAAGAGCTAGTAGTTGATAATTCAAATACAATATTCCACACTCGCACCACGAGGATAGCGTAGTTTCTACAGGCGCACGTACTTGCACGAAATTTTATAAGAAAATAACATTCATTGAGAATAGAATCAGCATCCGAATAATATACGTATTTTGTACGACGCGTCAAGCAGCAAAAAATTCGTGCCTCATCACCTAGAGCTCGTCCTGTGGTCGTATACCTGACCACGGATTCGCGATTTGCCAGGATAACGGGACCACACGCGTGTGTGGGTTAATGCGCGACCGGGGGGGGGGTTGAACTCTGCTGAGCTTTGCTGTATCATTTCTGGTTAATCGACGCGCGGTTGTTTGGCACTGACGCACGAGGAGAAACAGGACGAACAATCGTGTGCAGTGGGAGAGGAAGTATCATTATGCTGCAAAAACACGGGACGGATAATCGAGTTTTCAATCTCTTTTTGGGTTGTATATGGTGCGCGAGTGGATAATCCATGCGAATGAATAAATAAATAACGATCAACGAGCAGTACAATATTTTCAAGTTAAAATCGCGGCTATATGGTACAACTGATGTTTTTTTGCTTTCGAGCGTGTTTAGCGATTTTTGTAGTACATGGTATTCGCTTTTGTCCCATCAGAACATACTTTTGCGGCATTTACCGAAATACAAGGGAAATTCTCGCGTTAGTGTGCTTGTGGATGTAGATTGGCTGGAACGAGGAAATGGACGTCGCAATCGTACGCTCGATGTCGATGGTCGTTGTTGTACCTTTCGAGAGGTGCTCGATTTATTTTATTTTATTTTTTTTTTATTAAAAAGCACTTCGTTCGTGATTGCAATATTTTTTTAGTACGGAGAGAGCTTGGATGTATACAAAAAAAAATCACATACCGACTGCTTGCAGATGAATTTGATTGAAAAAAAAAAAAAAAAAAAAAAACCTTATTGTGATCGATTTCGCATCACACTACGGGTACACGTACTACAAGAACGTACAGGCTTGTCTAAAAATAAGTCAGCAGTCGATCGATGAAACATCTTTATTCGATCTTTAATCACGATCAAGTGAATTTACTAGTATATAAACGTATTTCAACCCGAAACAATTAAGAAGTAATAATACGCTCTTACAAGTACGCACGGTATAATACATGTGAAAACAAGAGGAAAGATAATTGGAGCAAAAGACCATACCTACATTTTTAACCAATCCTCTGGCTGTGAGATTCGTCTAATTAATACGAGGATATCCCAATACGTGCCATGTTAACGAGCACCCGGTCCGTCAAAGAAAAAAAGATAGCGCATTTGCTCGTGTGTACGGCAGAAATAAAAAAAAAAGTGCGGAAACCACCGTATAATCACCGACAAGTGTACCAGAGATATGCCTATTCCCCTTCGGTTGCACTTTATCTCCTGGCATCTACGTAAGTATACAGGAAAGTGTACCTTGTACACATGTATGAAAAACCATGTAGCAAACATCGGCCGAGCATTAACCCAGAATCCAGGAGCGCGCGCTCGAGAAATAAAAAAAAGGGGGTAACTGGAAATTGGAATTGAAATTAAACCCCGTCTCGACCCCTCTATGTACGACTACAGTAATATCACTTACCTCGCATACATATATATACGCGTGTCCGAGTACAGCCGCACTGCTTCCGCGAGAGCAAGTGCAACGAGTAACGAATTCGCCCAAATCGACCCCCTTTGCCCTTACGACTACGTATCGTTATCGTTTAATTTTCAATGACGTTGGTTCAATAAACTGCCGGAGATACTCTCATCACGTTACGAAGCTGCAATAGTCGATCATCGAGTGGTGTCTTTATACCGTCTTGGACCAGCTGATTATCAGATTAAGTCCTACTCACTGGCGTCGGAGAGAGTTGATGCATTCCCTAATTTGGATGTAAAAAAGAAATCAAATACATGGGGGAAGACGAAGAAGAAAGATGCAAAGGGAGGTATACGTATATACACGATTGTTCGTATAACGGGTGGAGTAATGAGGTAATACAGAGCGGAAGCCCGCGTGTGGGAAGGATGGCGTGCGTCGGGAGGTGAATCCGCAACTTAATTGATGACGCCCCTAGGTATATCCAGTCCGTAATATCTATCGGAGCACGTCTCCGTCCTATATGACCCTCGACCTTTTTTAGCGGTAGCCCGTATCGTCTTGTTATTTTTTTTTTTTTTTTTTTTTTTTTTTGCCCCGCGATCTTATTACAAATGCTGCTGCCGTGAGTGAACTCGTGTTGTAGATGTCGGTATGCGATACTCGTAAATATTTCCCCCCCTTTTTTTTTAACTTGCAGGGGACGGAAGAGGAAAGGAAAGGGCTTCCACGTGGGTGGCTTTTTTTTTCCTCGAGTGCTGGAAAAATGCGCGGAGCTTTTTCATTTGATACACCGCTGACGCGAGTATGGATTGAGCTTCCGGGGAAAAAATATGAGGGCAAAAAAAGTGTTGTATCGGGCGTCTCTATTTTTGTATTTATTACTTTCTGATACACACTGCCGTGACTGTATTAAAGAAATGGTCGTTTTGACGCGTCCTTTTATTTTTTTGTTCAATTTGTTAGGGATACAACGTATCAAAGGACAAATTGATGTACAGCTCAAATTTATTGCCTGTCATGCGTAAAAGCATTTGTTTTTCCATGAAGTACACCTCAAATGTCAAGGCTCGTGAAAAAAGGGTTTTAAAACAATTACCGTCGAATAATGCTTAAAAGTTTGTTTGATTCGCGAAAACTTCTCTGATAGACAAACTTAATAAAAAAAAAAGTGCGAATTTTTTGAATTCACTTCGAAACTTTGAATCATGTCTCTTTCAACATACTGACACTTCGATATAAACGTAGCTGTTCAATTCAAACAACTTTGAAATCGTCGTTGAAAACGAAAACTGAAGAATCGATTTTTTTTTTCTTCTTGCAATTACGATTTTATTCCGAAAATTTTGCGGAAAAAGGATAGCAATGTTCTTTATATTAATAATCTCATGACATTTCCAAACGGTAACTTCCAAAAATACGAGAGTAATTAAATAAACGCCAGAATCCTGTATGCTTTTTTAATCGGCAATTTCGTACTTTACGATTAAAACGCAATCGTAAGAGTTTATTCATTTTTTTATCGCCAATTCCATGTAAACAAAATCATACATGCGATTGATCCGAAAGCGAAAGTTCTAATCATGCGATGCATTACTGTATACCTACTTAAAACGAACGTCATGGCGTGGGTGCATCGCTCGTTCTCGTAAAACGAAACGATAAACGGGAAACAATAATACTTAATGCACAAGAGAGGATAAATGTAGGAAGTGCTCTCTACTAATGACCATCTCTCGGACGTTTTGGAATAACAATTAACACGCAAAACAAGCAACGATGTAGTAGAATAAAAGTTTTTTTTTTATTATACCTAACAATCAAGCTCATAAAACGTATAAATGTATTTTGCATCGCCTAACTGATTACATTAACATTTCGTTCCATAAATTGCATCAAATACTAGTATTTAGATTTGTAAATTGACTAACTTTTTCTTATCTTTAATTTAATAGGCTGGTTGGTTGTGTTCTTGTAATCATTCATTAAAATAAATAGAATTAACTACATTTTTTTTTTACCACTAAGTATCACGCCTTTTGGAGTTGATATGTTATGATACAATTATGGAACGATGCAGGAAAACTTCCCCCACCACTTGGAGTCAAAATATTCCCACTATCGGATTAGCTGTGCTACGATTGGCTAAATCCAGGAGACCAAACTTCCCCCACCATCAAAAGTCCGGCTTCTCCCACCACTCGAAAAAACTGCACTACGATTGGTTCCCTGTACAGCAACGCCGAGAAATGCGAAATTTCAGCGGGTAAAAAAATTTCAACCAGAGTTAGTATTCGTGTGACTCTCTATACGGACACAAGTTTTAAAATCTTCTCTAGCCCAAAATGCCTAGATCGTCTGCAGCTTCTGTGAAGAAATCCTCGAAGATGGTGTCTGCCAAGAAACCTGTAGTGAAGCCGTCCCATCCACCAACCAGCGAGATGGTTAACGCAGCCATTGGAGCCCTCAACGAAAAGAAGGGCTCGTCGCTCCAAGCTATCAAGAAATACATCGCTGGCACTTACGTCGTTGATGTCGAAAAAATGGCTCCGCTGATCAGGAAGTACTTGAAAACTTCTGTTGAGAAAAACATCCTTATACAGACCAAGGGTATTGGTGCATCTGGTCGCTTCAAGCTTACAGTCAAACCAGGTGGAAAATCTAGCAACATCACCAGGCCCACGCGTCAAGCGCCAGCTACAACTTCGCCGAAGGCAAAGAAGACCAGCAAATCACCAGCTGCTAAACCCAAGACTCCAAAGCCCAAAAAGTCGACCGCAGCCAAGCCTAAAAAAGCTTGAATTTAGCAGAGCTCCCCATATTCGAACAACCGGCCCTTTTCAGGGCCATATATGTTTCTCAACGTTAAGAACTCTAACTCACTCAAGTGTATTAAAATACCACTTTAGTATTCATTTTAATATTCGATTATTTCATTGTTGGAAAAACCTTACCATAAGGATTATCTCCTCCCTGCTCCATCAAACTAAGAAAACCTATAAATTAGAACAGCGTTAAAATTTGCGGTTGTTTATTTTTTAATTCCAGGCTAAAATATGATTCGATGGAGAGTAAGTGAAACGTTAGTAAGTTTAAGCTTTTATTTCATTTTGTTTCAAAAATTTTTCAAAACCTGCAGCAATATCCAATCCGAAATTTAGTTAACGTTAATCTATTCTTGAAGCGCCAGCATCAAAACTCCTGTTGATCCAATCATGCTAGTACGTAGGTATAATAATATAATGTACATATGTCAAGTTAATGCCAATTGCACGTATCCCGAGGACGTGACGCTCGTCTGCAGCAGCTGACATTTGAGTTAAATGTTGGGTATTAGTTGAGGGCTCCTTCTCTTGACAGATGGTACAAATTTGTTATTTAGTTATAGAACCGTACGTAGTTGTAATACCGTATAGTAATTTACCCGATGCAACGTAACAGTTACGAAATAATGGATTAATCATTTAATTGATACGTTTTTAAGTGAATGAAGCTCAACAGGTGAGCAGCAACTGCTCATGCAAGAACTCGACGTGCTCGGAGCGATTGAGGCTATCAATGACCTCGATGCTGAACTAAGCTTTACTAATCACGAAAATCAAAAGTCCATAATATGCAAGCGGTCAAAACAATGGAACGGTGTGGCTTCGAAATTAGATAAATCAATATCATGTATATACTCTTTAACATGAGTTGTTGGCGTACTGTTAAAAAAAAGTAATTAAATTGTTGAGCAAAGGTATTATGGGGGGAAAAAGGCAGCGCAGACGTTGATAGCGGAGGAGAAAAAAAATAAGGGTTTGAATGGCGAAACGAGTACAACGTAAGGAGCGAGGGGGAGAAAAGAGGCCAGCGTCGAGCCAACGTTGTACTAGCAGCCGTACTCTTGCTGCGAAGCGGTGCATTGCATACAAGCGAAAAGGGCTTTAAAAAAAAAATTGCGCGTGTAGAGCGAGGGGGTATAGCTCGAGGCGAAGGAACTGCTGAGAAAAGAGTTGTGCAGCTATATGAAGCGTCGAAAAGGCCTTCTTTGCCAAAGGATAAATACTCAATACCCGAAAGGGGCAATTGTTTTTTTTTTTTTTTTTTTTTTTGATGGAGCGGGGAGGGGAAAATCTTCATAGACACCCCAGCTAATCCGGTGGTAGTGTCGAAGGTGCGCAGCTTGGTCTTCTGGGAGACGGCTTTGTTGTTGAAGAAGGGCTTTAGTTGCACGAAGGCTCCATATGCCTTACCGCAGGTGCTGTTGATGTGCCGAACGTACGTGAGTCGACGGTCTTTTTTTTTTTTTTTTTTTTTTTTTTTTTGTTTCATAGAGCGGGGAGGGGAAAATCTTCATAGACACCCCAGCTAATCGTGTGGTAGTGTCGGATTCACCCGGTGTGCCTACCGACTAAAAACTAACCTCCCCGCATGGGGCAGGTCCGTGAGGACCACTCCCCTAGAAGACAAAAGGGCATAGGAGAAGAAAGAAGAGGGAAAATAACGGAGAATTTCGGAGGCCGACTCGCTCTCGAAGAGATGAGAGGAGGGGGCGCTTACGCATCTGGGCGAAGCTCGATTCTTGGCTTGCGCCGGAATAAGTGAAGTTAGAGAAGCTTAAATTTTATGTTATTGTATGTGTGTGTGTAGATGTGTGAGTCCGCTGGGAATTGTGTAATTGGAAGCGTACTTGTGATTAGTGTAAGTGTTGTATAGGGTTGAGGCCGTAGAGGATACGGCGGACAGTTTGGGTGCTCCTGAGAGGAGCGTACGAATTGAAGTCGCGTTCGTTACGTCGAGATCATGGAGATGGAGATGATGCATCCGATGGAAGTAGGGGGGATTGAAGACCTAGAGTGTATTGAGGGTCCTCGGGGTTCTGTGCTAGAGCGCAGGGACGTCTTATAAGGTCGAAGCGACCGGGTTGGAGGTTCGCGAGTGCGGCGATGGTGGGGTTTGGGTGGTCCGTAATGGAAGCGCGGATTTTAGAGAGGGGCAATTGTAAAAAGGTACCCTAAGAAATAGCGAAAGGAACTAAAGAAGAATCGTAGTGGGTGCTGAACGAAAACGAAAAAGAAACGCGTGTATTCGCGCTACCGGAGATAAATAATGAGCAAATGAAAGTGATATTACGGGGGATGATTAGAACGCGGGGAATTTGAGAGAGCTGGAATGGAGAGGCCGTGTGTGCGTGGAATGGCTTGGAAAGCGAGGAATGGCCGAGCCGCATGAAACGGGGGCTGCGCTACAATACCTGATCAGGGATGATGATAGAGCAAGAGGCGGGCGAGGAAAGGAGGACGCGTGGCTTTTCATATTTTATACACTCGTGAGTTTAATTCGATTGTTCCCCCCTTTTTTTTCCCTCTACTGTAAGCACCGATTTTTCCATTTACAGTAGCTCAACAGAGTAGATTTCGATCGAATGACTCGCTAATCTCACTCGAATTGATTCCTCAAGTTTAAAGCTTCCCGATTTCTCTGAGTAATGAAATTGAGTTACCAACTAATATTATTACCGCTGCAGCGTACCCAAGCATACAAGCATGTCAAATCTGCGGGAGAGGCTGCATGAAGCTGTAATATGAGGTAGATGGTACGAGACGTGCACCCGGGGAAACAGAGCGTTAAAGGCGCGAGCCAAAATGTGACGACTTGCCAAAATCAAACTTTACTGCACGTAAGGTGCGACGAACGCGCAAAAATAATCTGGTTTATGATAGAAACGGACAAAAAAAAACAATATCAGATTGCCTATATACGCACAAAGGGTAAAAAGAAGAAAGTACCCTAAAAAAAAAGAAAAGAAATAAAGCAGGTACAAGCGCTCGCGAGTGCGAGTCAGGTTCTCCGTGCCTCGGTACCTCTATATCTACGGAGTAGATAACGGCGTCGGCGTCAGCACCAGCTGGTCCGCTTGGCGCGCTCCTCCGAGTACAGCTCGACGACGGGCCGGCACGCCAGTCGCTGCGTAACCCGCGCTCGTGTCGCCTACTACTCTCGCAAACGAGGGCGACGCCGTGTGTTTTTTCGCGCGCTCATATTACACTTGCATGTACCATCTTCTTGTGTCGTTGAAGATCAAATTGCCATTAGTTGCGCTTCGGTACTAATATGAGGTGAAAGTGTTTTTATAGATCCGACAAAGTATATCTTTCCAAGTGTTGTTTACTTGCCTTTGGTGAAGCCTCTAAATGACGTAGGTGACGAATTGTTCTTGTTTTTTTTTTTTTTTTTTTTTTTTTTTTTTTTTTTTTTTTTTTTTTTTTTTTTTTTNTTTTTTTTTTACTCTGAGAAATAGCTAATTGACGATTTTGATGTTCAAGAATACCGTGGGGGTTTGTAAATGATTGAGTCCTGGTTTTTATCTTCTGTGCCCTCCAGTGGTATGGAAAAGTTGGACAACTTTTCCTACGAGTGAGTGCGTTTTCCTTCAGAAATTGAATTTTATACATCAATACCATTGATACGGACATCATTAAAGTCATCATTGAACGTTGCAGTATATTCTACATGTGTGTCAAGCGTTGTCACTTTTGATAAATTTGTTTGTTGTTTTTTCTACTGCTCCTATTTCAAAAGTCGAGTAAATATTTTCTAAACTTGTCGAGACTAAAAGAATAATAAACTTTTTTGTTTTTTTTACGATGCATATAGTTTTTTGCGTTATCCAAACACTATTCTCTTATGGAAATATCGTGCATTTGTAATAGAGGAAAAAAAAAGAAGAGCTTGGTCACATTATCGCGACGGCCTTTTCACTCGACGGACATAAAGAGCAATGCCAGTTAATTTTAAGGTACGGTACCTTTTACTCATAGTCCCGGTGCGAATTTAATTTTCGTCGCGTGACTATACACTAAGAAATTCCTTCGCCGTAACGAAAGTGATTTAAAGCGCGCTTTTTCAATTTTTTTTCTTTATTTTTCTGTGCGAAAATACCTTACAGTCTCGATCTTTTTTTTTTCTTATATTCTTTTTGGAACGAACCAGACAAAAACGAAATAAATTATGAAACAACAAAAAGCAAACTACACGTATGCATAATTTCCTTGCAAACCACAAGGGAGTGACAAAAAACACTGAGACTCCCACGGATCCTTTAACCGAAAAAAATCACGATAAAAGCGCTTGAATTTTGAAATTTTCAAGCATTGCAAGCGCAGAGAGCGTAAATGTAATTTATCGGCTACCATAAGTAACGACTAGCTCCATAACACGCCGTAATTTCGATGCACGCGCGTGTCACATGAAATTATTACCCAAGCATATACGTATACGTATACCTCTCGAGTGTGCATTATGCAAGCAAGTTAATTTATGTGCAGTTCAACACGGGGAAAAAACAAGAGGTGAGGACACGAAAAAAAAAGAGCACCACATGCCTATCGATAAAAGGATAAAACACGGGTAAGTCAGTCCACTAATTTGTACACACGCATGAAATGTTATTACTCTCGCGTCCTCCTTTTTCCGACCAGTAAAGTCTTGAACCTCGACCATCCATCTCCTTGGTTAAATCTAAACTTTTTCTCATAATTTTCCTTGAAAAAAATCACCTTACATGGCTTTCCCTCCTGTTCACGCAAATCCTCATATTCACGAGCACTCGCGGATTGCGGCTAATTTGGCCATTGTTTGGCTGTCATTGTCAACCACATCGCCCAACAGAGAGAAAAGACACACACTTAAGAAAACTTCGCGCACCTATTCTGTACCCACGAGGCAGCTATACTAACCGCGAGCATATTGTTCCTTTGCTGATGGCCTTTTTATCGCCGTCGCTTTGGCGTCCAACAACAACAACAACAATATAGAAATTAACGAGCTTCCGTCGGACGTGTATACGCATAGAGCTAAGAAGACCAACCGAAACTAGTAATTATAAAGTGTTTCGTAATTCAGTATATACTTGATCGATTGGGTGATGTAAGTGCGTATTTACCCAAGAGATAGTGACTTGTCGAATTTATAATTACCCACTGTCTGACCAAAAGTGACTGTTACTACTAAAAATAAGGTCAGACAGACCGTTTTTTCACACTATACCTGTAATCTGTTGGTTCATCTACAGGTGTACTTTTACTTATCGGCATGGAATGTAAGTGATAAGGAAAAGGAAAAGTAGGGCAACTACACCGTGCATGCATTAGGAGAGCAAAATAAAACGCCAAGTATAAATTAGAGGGAGAGAAAGAAAGTTTTTTCAAAATAAAAGGTAAATGAGGCGATCCACCACAGGCCAATGGATCCGAAAAATATGATGATATCCGGGCGTGAGTGTGCACAGGCAAAACCCAAACGGAGGCCATAATTAAGGAGAGATAAGGGACGATCCATCGGCGTGTCACTGCGATTTCCGTCTTTTAAAACGGCGAAGCTCCCTACGTGGGCCCTTTTTCGAGGTTTTTTGTTCAAGTGTCTCGCTCCCCGTATCTTCAATCAGGGGATCACGACCCTTTGGGCGAGAGGGGCCGAGGGAGGAAAAAATGATCCTCCTCCTCCCTTTTAATGGCCACAAAGGTTTTACGGCGCACACCGAGATCCTCCCGAGCGATACGGACCCACGGAGAGAGAGAGAGCGAACTTTCATTCTGCAATAAATCAGGGCAATTTACTTTTTTTCTTCCCTCCCCGTGTGTATATATATATATATATACCTTAATATGCGTTTACTCGAGAATACCGATTATTTGGCACACGCTTGGGAAAATATTTACTCTCCCGAGTGTAACGTTTGTACATATATACGTACTCGCGACGGTAATGATCTGCGGCTGTTTTCTAAAATATCTCTCGAGTCCACAAACAATCTCTCGTCGATCGGCGTTATTTTACCCCTCGAGGAATCACCAAAAAGTGCCCATCATCGTCGGGTGTACCAAACACACGTAAATCTGCTCAAATGAAATCTCGGAAAAATCAGGCGACTAGCCAGACTTGCACGCGTAGCCATTTATAGACTCCGTTCGACACGAGGCATCCCTCTTTCTCTGTGTGTACACGATGAGTAAAATTATTAATCCGAAAAAAAATCGTGTACAGGCAAACACTTGCAACGCTTTGGACTGACGGATCTTTAGCTTTGCGGAAAATAATGGCCTGGTCCGTCAGGATTGTCATGACAGGGGAGAGAAAGGCGGATTGTGGGCATGTGTGTCGGCTGGTAAAAAATGGCAGCTTGACGGGCACTCGGAGGAAATTGCATTATTTTTCGGGGCGCGGCCCGTACAATGGGAGCGTGAAAGAGAAGCCGCGGATTTGTCGGCGGAGGGGAGGGGTAATTTGAGCGCATTTTTCATCCTCGTTGGCTGACATATCCTTGTGCACATCTCTGGGTGGTATCCAAATGAAGGGGGATTTACTTTTTTCCTCTATTTTTTTTTTTTTTTTTTTTTTTTTTGTTTGTTCATTCGACTGACTCATCAGTGCGGATTGAGGAGAGAGCCTATGGGCTATAGGCCAAATGTGGCTGCAGTGACTTGCAACCGGAATGATGAATTGTCATCGAGTGCCGATCACTCTTCTCTAACTTCTTTCTAAATAAGTTGTTCAAGATTTTTTTNGTTTGCTGGTGGGTTTTTTTTTTTTTTTTTTTTTCAATTATACCTTCTATGAAACTTTGCTCTTTCAATGCAAGCTGGTTCTCCCTTACGTTCGCTCTTGTAATAAAGTTTAAGGGTGCACAACACAAATTAATTACTGTAAGCTCACTTGGTACTTCTTTACTTTGATGAAAACTTGGACGCAAAGCTATAATGGTTGGAGCTCCTGCAGCGTCATTAATAACATTTTATAGCAATACAGAAAGTAAAAAAAAAGGTACAAATTTCTTACGAGTACTGGTAATGATCGATACGGGAGCTGTAACGAGAGTTGCCAACTTTTTCTAAAAACTGTATGGGCGAGCGTTGAAAGATAATGGTGAGCTCGTTTGGCTGTTTTGACGATTTTCGAATAAGTATACTAAGAGCAAAGCAAAAAAAAAAAAAAAATCTGCATCGTATCGTCAATACAGCTAATTTCACATTGTCCAAGTAAAACTGCTGAGATCATAGTATAAAAAAGTTAATCGATCGGCAGAAAGTGCAGGAAGACAAATGAAAGGGAAAAAAATCCAGATCTAGCCCAGTGGACGTCGCGCGGGTTGTCGAGTGCACACTGCAAACAACATCAATTTCGGCTCGTTAGTGCCATTAAGTACTGCCGAGGCGCCGCTACCGCTAATGTGCGTAGGCGTGTATGCGACCGCGACTGAAACCGCGAGAATCCAAGGCCTCGAATTCGAGAACACCTGCACGTCCCGATTCATTGCCTTGCTTATAATTAATGTTTAATCATTAGTACAAGTCCTAGCTTGAGTGGTAATTTCAGATAACAGAATTTAAAAAAATTGGTAGGCTGAATTTGGCGAGAAAAAATTATTTGATACTGCCCTAGAGAACACATGACACTGTCAAACGGATTCGCGCACTTCCGATGCCACACGCGAGGGCATAATATACATGTCTCTTATAAGCGCACCCATACTCGCGAGCCTAAGTTTCTAATCTTAGAGCAGAGCTCACAAAATGTGACCATGACGCAGGAAGCCTCCTCCGTCGTGCAGTGTTTTCTTCAATCTTGTGTCTCTCTTTGTTTTCTTTTTTTTTTTTTTTTTTTTTTCGGCTCATAGTCCAAACGGAAATACAACCATTAGCAAGCAAAAATAGCCTCACAACGAGCATTGGCAACTCGGTACGCGCACTTTTGATTTTCCCGCAGCCAGTGCTCTTTGACGGCGATCGATTTTTTTCAGGTTTTTTCGCGGCGATCCTTCAACGTCGGGCGCACGCGAGAAAAATAGTTCGGTCTATTTATTTCCCTCCACCTGCACCTCCCCCGGGCGAAATTTCCTTTGTTTGTTTTGTCCTTTTCCGCACGAGTGCAGTGGCTTTCGCGATCCCCCCCCCCGTGGGGGCGATCGTAGGCGCTCAATTAAAGTTGTTGCTCGATGCATTGGCTATCTACTACTAACCCTTTCTTTTTCCAACACATGTGGGTATACAGGAAATAATTTCTATTTAAAAAAAAAAAATCTGCTGTATCGAGTCATCGCTACGCACTCCTAAAAAAAAAACTCGCGTATTTTGTTTTCGCATTGAGAATGAAACATCCACGCGTACAGGAGTCTCGACGTGTTTGATGTAATGTTTGAGAGAAAAAAAAAAAAAAAACGAAAAAAAAGTTGATAAACAATCCGAGAAAACCACAGACTTTCAGAGTCAGAGAGAGGGAGGGACGGGCGTCCGTAAGTTCTAAATATACGCTGCGCTTTATTTTAGAACCACAACTCTACGAGTCGCGCTAATTTGGCGAAGAACTCGGCTAACGCCCTATACACGTGTGTATACACCTCTACGTGTGTTTGCAATCAACTACCGTTTAAAAAAAAAAGAATCATCTTCGTTCTTCTCTATTTTTCCCCTTATCCTTTCGTTCGCGTTGATAATCTATATATTCCAAGGTAGGCAAGTTTGAGCCCAAGTGACGGACAAACAAGTCATACATTAAGCTCGAGATGAACTTTCGAAAGCGAGAGATTCAGTGGTACAAATAATGAAACGTACAAAGCGCTCCGTGTAGCGGACGCGGCAATATTTCCTGTTCTGAGTGCTATTTTCACCCCAATGTACATGCCCGCGCGCCTAAGTTTAGTCGGTAACTCTTGCTCGCGACTAAAATCCAATGATTCGCGATTTAACGCGCCGGACGTAACTTTCTCCTCTCGAGAATCGTTACTGCATTCCCAATTAATCTTCCAAGCGAGCTCCCCGTTACAGCGAACAGCCACCGAAGGTAGTTGTATACGTGTACTCTATCGCCGCCGCAAAAAAAATCCCCTGTCATCAATCAATCCGCGTCAAAATCAAGTATTCTTTCGGAGCGCAGAAATTTTTTTCCATAAGTATGACATATATATAGATGTGTCTATCGCCGACTGCTCCGTGTCCCCTTCGTCTTAGCGTCAAACGCGCTAAAGAGCGTATAAATATAGATAAGCACGTAAAAAAAAAAACAAAAAAAAAAAAAAAAAGATAGGAGAGCAGCGACAAGGTCAACAACGACGAAAGTGACGTAAGAACGCACAAACACAACCTCGTACACGGAGCTTCGTGAGCCCTGCACGGATGTGGGCTTCGTTTCAAAAGGTCGGCTAATATTGCCCCTTTCGTGTGTATGCGTGTGTGTCCGTTGTATATACATATTCCCTGCTCTACGCGCATACCCAAGTGCTATGAATTATGCACCGTAGGAACTCGACTGCTCGCTCGAGTGCAAGTATACGTATACGCCTTTTAGAACACTCGAGCGTGCTCAAGCCTCGCGAGTCTTGTCTCGTGTTTCACGTTTTTCTTCCTGGTTTTGGAGTAAACGTACACACCCCGACAGGGGATGTTCTCGAAGCAATCGCGTCCCGTATTATCTTTACGCGGGAGGAATCGGCTGGTTCGAACAAATATATTTTTTGCGTCAAATTTACCCCGTAGGCTAAAATACAAGATAAATTTTGAAGTTTCCTCTTTTTAATAGCAGATTGCATCATTAATTCAAAATCGAATCGTTTGTCTGAAAAGAATAGGGAAACGACAGTAAAACCGACTATTTAAAAGTCACAACCGATACGTAATGTCGTTACAGGAGAGCTTTCACTCGACGCGATCCTCCTTTACCTTACTTTTTTCTTATTCTTGGGCATTTTTTAATTTTTTCATCACGTAACATGGACCCTTCCTTTCTGTGCAAAAATACCATTAAAAAGCAACTAAAAAATTTGAACCTAATTTAAAACAGAAGGTCTCGAGTGAAAAATTGTCCTCGAACTTTAGCAATTATTATATATATACGCACATTCACAGGGCCACGTGCACAGAGAGGACATTATTACGAGATCACACTTTCCATAGAACGGAGGTGAGAGGAAAAAAAACTTTGTCCCCCAAGTAATTGAACAAAGGGAGACGCACCGACTACCAAGATCTCATTCGATTTTCCTACCAGACTTTCTTCGCGATGATTTCGCCGTGGTTTAAAAAATTTTTTTTTCTCCCCCCCGATCTCAGAACTAAACTTACCCAACTGCACGAACTTTTGCAAGAACAGAGCTCAACTCTAGAGTTGCAGTTGGGAATTGGTTTTGTTTCTCACGTATAAAAAGGTGAGTGATTGGGTTTTTTCATTTCACTTGATGCACCACATTTATATACTTCTCGATACAAAAATCGACACGTGAACACGTGTAACTGAAAAAAAAGAAAAAAAAAAAAATGTGTACAAATACCTATAGGCGACGTATCCGAAGCGTTAATTACAAACTTTTGGCGCGCGAATGCCCTGCGAAACGAGAATTTAAAGGTTTCCATCGCGATCACTTTCGCGAGAGTACCCGGGCTCTGCAGTTATCGTATAAAGCTACCCCATGTAGCCATTTCTATCGAGAGCCACCGCGTTAAATTCGATATCGAAAAGCAACTCAAACCCCGTAGTTGCGCGGGGAAATGAAAAAGCCACGATCGACTCTGTACTGCTTCAATAAAAGCCCAATATGTAATGCTTTTGAGAAAAGATGAAAAAAAAAAAAAAAAAAAAAAAAGTACAAGTGTGTCGCGGGAAACATCGGAATGCGAGCCTTAAAAACGGGCAAACGTATATGTATATGTACCTTGGACGTTTTTCGCGTAAAATATTTAAACCCGCCGCGGCAGCAGTAAACCACGGAATTATCAAGGAAATAGAGTTCTTTGCGACTTTCTGCGCAACAACAACAACCGCCGTTGCAGCCTCCCCAGCCGCGCTCTCGATTTACGAGCGGGGACCATTTGATCGTTCGAACTGCTCTCGAGCTCGTAAAGCTCCTTGCGACGTAATGCCGCTTTTATGGAGCTCGGATTAGAGCGCTGCCACACCGGTGTGGGTGACTCTTTTCGTCTCGCAGTACTCTACACGAGTGTAGCTGTTGCGAGAAAACGTGGACGAACAGATATGACGAGGAGAGGCGAACAAAGTGCCTCCGGATCCAAACAGTTGCAAGGTAATTTTCGATTCACTTGCACAATGAAACGAAAAGTTGGTGTTTCGATGTCGAATGGAGGAGGCCTCTCTGTGCTATGTAAACACATGCCCTAGACGAACGATTTGCTTGAATGAAAGAAGAAAAAAAAGAATAGATAACGCAAATCTTTATTTTGAAGATCGTGTGACGAGTCGATCGGAGCCACTCGATAAGAAATGAAAAGGCAAAAAATAGATGAAGAGAATAAAAGACGGCCAATTATTATCACGGCCATGATCACCTCTGTACAATTCAACGCCGAATCTCACATAGCGGGAGTGTTATTGTAGCCTCACACGTACTTCTTACGCGCACACACGTACGCTATAATGTCGACATCTATTAGTTGGGCCACAAGTAAGTATGCCTATAGAGTGATTCTGCGTGTAGAAAAATCACCTTGTGTGCACGAGAGAGAGAGAGATCAATGACGAGTAAATTATATATTTGCCTGTGTGGGGTCTTCCGTAGCACTTATGCACATGGATATGGCATACACATGCAACACACGTGGAATCAAAATGTTGGCCGTGCCGCACAAAGGGGATTGATGATTGTACCAACTACTATGCGAGAGAGCTCATTTCACGATTATTGCGTGCCGACCGACCCTTTTCTTCCGCTTCTCTATGGCTATTGTATACACGTATCATCATTGTAATTTATCGGTGATTGTCAGTTCGTCACGTGATTCGCCTGCTTTAAGTATAATGAATTAGTTATTGGGCTTCGAACGTTTATTGGATACAAACACGGACGTTTGTTCATTTGCCAAAGTGTCGAAGTTTCATTTTGACGATGGATAGACTTTTCTTTTTTTCGTTTGTTTTGGTTTTTGAGTTCCGTATATGATCCCTTGTGATCTTCCGATGAAAAAAAAAACAACTGTAACAAAGTTTTTTAAAAGCCCTCGTGATGTTTTGTACGAAAATAAACATGAAAAATGTATAAATTAATAAATAGTTCCATATCGCTATGAGGGTAGTGAGAGAAGAGTATTAAGTTAAGACATATCTTGTGCTGAATGACCTGCGTGTGCTTCAGTAACACACTGTAGAAAAGCTTTGAAATTTCGACCAATATTTAGTGATTTTAACTAATTCGGGGGAAAAAAACATGGCAAAGTGCGTGAATATCGTTTGGTTTTTTACTATACGGAACACCCAAGGGGTGTAAGATACACTGGCATCGCATTATGCAAAAATAGCTGTAACAGTGGAATTAGCGTCATTAAATTTTTTTTTTTTTTTTCCTTATCACGCCTATTTTTTCCCACTGCTACGAAGAAACGAAGGCACAAGTCTCAAATTTAGATTCTTGTCACCGTCACCCAAGCACACACATTTTTTAAAGATTTCTGGTAAGTGTCTTGTAGAATAAAGATGTCAAGACATCTTCGCAGGTGAAATTCCCCAATGATGATCCACAGATCCACAAACGCTGACGCATAATCTTGTAAAGTTCTAAAAAAATATGCAGCAATCGAAATCATTTACATTAAAAACAAATCAAAGTACATCAGATGTCCTAAATAGTAAAAAACCATACTATTATAGTTTAGGTGCATAGCGAGGTGCATAGTGAATCTGACCGATTGTTCAGATACACCCGCACATTATTTGGAACTGGTGTACTTGGTGACGGCGGATCTCCTGAGAGGTAATGGTTGACCTGCGGTATTGTAGTAGACCAAACAAGAATCTTTCGCAGCTATGCGCTCAAACATGTAATTGACGAAGCGATTCATCAACATGACCTTGAAGGAGGCTAGACTCCAATATTCGGATGCACCTGATTCAGGACCTTGTATGGATATAGATCCAAAGTTCTCTTTCTTTCTCTGGGAGCGCCTCTTTTTGCCCAAGTTGGCAACATTCTAGCAGTAAGAGTTTTTTTTCAATTTATTTTTTTATTTTTTTTATTTTAGCGCCATAATAAACTGATCAATTAAAAGTTCTGTAACACCTTTCCGCTACGAAAATCAAAAAAATTTTGTCAACTAATTTATTTTTTGCGCAATTTCTCGATTGGCTGTTCAACAGCTACTCCGAACCAATCAGAGCGTAGCGCAGTTGGATTACCCCCCACCTAACTGACTCATTTTTTGGTTCTGCGCATGATCGTCACTTTTTCTTCCCCCTCTACTCCACACGAAACAGCTTCACTCTGATTGGTTCGGAGTAGCTACGATTGAATCGAATCGGGAAAAAAAAAATTTCTCTACAGTCAGACAGATTAAATCAGTTGTTAACTAACTTTCTGAGCCTTAAGTTTAATCGCTTAGCTTACACTCAAGAATGACTGGATCAGGACGTGGTAAAGGAAAGGCTAGGGCGACGCCAAAGTCGCGCTCTTCTCGAGCTGGACTCCAGTTCCCAGTTGGTCGCATCCAGCGACATTTGAGGAAAGGCAACTATGCCGAGCGAGTAGGTGCTGGTGCCCCGGTATACTTGGCCGCCGTTCTCGAGTACTTGTCCGCCGAAGTCCTGGAGTTGGCAGGCAATGCAGCTCGTGACAACAAGAAGACTAGGATCATCCCTCGTCATCTCCAGCTGGCCATCCGCAATGACGAGGAACTAAACAAGCTGCTCGCCAACGTTACGGTTGCTCAAGGAGGTGTTCTGCCCAACATACAAACTATCCTGTTGCCAAAAAAAACCGGAAAGAAAGAATTCACGGAATAGGTTATGAAGCTTAAATCAAAAACCGGCCCTTTTCAGGGCCAACAACAAAATTGCAACGTAACATTTCATTCCACATGCTGAACTTTCACGCACACTTACTTTCTAAATTAACATACATTCATGTATTAATCTGACAAATTAATTAAATTAAGGCATTTTTTCCCTTAAATTCCGTTAATCAAAGGTTTATGGAAAAAAAAGAATTATTTTGAGTATCAGCGCCATTTAGCGTTGCTGTTGGCGAAATCAAATCTGACTTTTAGAAAAAATCTCAAGATTTTTAGTGGTTAATTAACTGATAATGTTATATATTATTCATTTTTTGGCGCTGCTTTTTTTTTTTTTTTTTTTTTTTTTTTTTTTTTTTTTTTTTTTTTTTNAGCTTGGTCTTCTGGGAGACGGCTTTGTTGTTAAAGAAGGGCTTTAGTTGCACGAAGGCTCCATATGCCTTTCCGCGGGTGTTGTTGATGTGCCGAACGTACGTGAGTCGACGGTCTAGCGTTACGCCAAGGTACTTGGCGGAGTAGCTCCAGTCGATTTCTACTCCGTTGACCTTTATCTTCTGCAGTTTCTTCCTTGGATATTTCTAGGAGACGAGCATGACTATAGTCTTAGCCTCGTTTACGACCAGTTTTCAAAGACTATACCAGTTATGGAGGGTGACGATGTGCTCGTTTAGAAAGGTGGTGCACCGAGAGTGTAGTTTTGATGTGCAGCTGACCGCGACGTCGTCTGCATAGACGTACGTGTTGATGTTTTCGCGCTGGGGTAGGTCGTGGCAGAATTTGTTGAAAAGGGTGGGTGAGAGTTTGGAGCCTTGGGGGACTCCGGAGGTTATTGGACGGGGGTCGGAGAGGGAGTCGCCTACTTTAACGCGGATAAATCTGTCCGAGAGGTAAGATTTGACGGTGCCTATGAGGTAGTGTGGAAAACCTAACTGAATAAGCTTGTACAGGAGGCCCTCGTGCCAAACTCTGTCGAAGGCCTGCTGTACATCCAGGAAAGCTATCACGGTGAAGTTTTTGTGGATGAGGATCTCGGAGAGGTCTTCGGTAACTCTCAGAAGCTGGTGTACGGCCGAATGTCTGGCTCTAAAATCGTACTGCGCGTCTGGAAGGATGTTATTTTCCGTGGCGTGCTTGTTTAGGCGGGTGAGAATGACGCTTTCGGTGATTTTACTGGGTGATGAGAGTAGGCTAATGGGTCTGTGGCTCGCGGGGTTGCTGAGGGGTTTTCCCGGCTTCGGGAGGCAGATGACCGTGGCCACCTTCCACGCAATTGGGAAATAACGAAGGCGCAGGATTCGAGGTTATACGCAAGGTGGACCCAGTCTATGCGGCTGGTGGTGACAGGTATGGTGAGAAGGGATCTTGGGATCTCTAGGTAGACTGGGTTATGGTTGCAAGGGAGGTCTGGGGATGTTCGTGGTTCCGTAGGGATGGTCAAGTTTTTCGTCAGGAATATGTCTAAGATGTCTGGGTCTTGGTCTGGTGAGCTGGGGTAGTGAGTCGGTTCACTCGGAACCTCAATGTTGATGTTGAGGTTGCGCAAGTGTTTGAGGAGGGAACGACCTTTAGGATTTTCGTGTTTGCATCCCCACGATTTGTGCTTGGCGTTTAAGTCACCAGCAACTATCGTAGGGATGTTGGAGTCAAACAGCGGGATTATGCATTGAAGGTTTGACCGTGTTTGATCTAGAGGACGAGGCAGAGAAGTATAATTGCAGCCTTACACCTCCCTCGTCCATCCTACAAACTAGGGTTCAAAGCTGAAAACAAGGGACTGACTTTACACTCTGTTCTGCGTGTGAAAAAACAAAGTCATCACAGTCACTGTCTGAGAAGAAGAGCAACTCGCCCGAGCAGTGAAACAATAACAATGGTAACAACGTGGCACGTGCAGTGGTTGAAACAGCCTCGAAAGCTGCTCTCTGCTGTGGCAAGGCGACGCATAATCTCGACAAAGTCACGTGCGATCTCGGACTGGTGGGATTTTCGTAAGCTTTTTGGTGGTAACGGAGGGTCCGACCAGTGACCGCTTAATTGGATGAAAATTTAATTAGGAAGTGGAAGTAGCTACTTTATACTTGCACTTACGTAAGCACGGGGATCCCATTAGAATGTAAAAAACTCAGTTGAAATGTATTTTTTTTTTCTTTTTCTTTATTTATTTTATAAGTTGCTTGAAACGACTGTAACACGTAGCAGCTGTGTGAGTCGGTTCGTCTCCGTGGATGTTTTTTCCTTTTTTTCCTCGTCTCTGTTTTACTCTCGACTTCTTTCCGTTGGCCGTAATAACGAGCGTCGCTTAAAATGTTTTGAAAAAAATACTGTACCTACCCGCCGTGTGACAGCAGACTCTTAAATCACTCGTTTTGAAAGATAATTATATTTTTTTTTTCTGGGAAAATGTACGTGTTTGGAATTTTTGACTCCTACTTCTCGAGTACTTAAGAGTTCAGCTGCAATGAGGTTTTCTTTTTTTTTGTACTAGCGTTCTATAATTGCTTGCAGTATTTCGAAGCAGTTGCTTAATAATTACTCGGACGATCAGTTTTTTCAACAATGCCAAAAAAAAATAAAAACAAAAAAATCTCACGCTGCAGTGGCAAAGTGCGAAAAGCTAGCTCTCTCTGGAGCTATTTCGGCGCTCGAGAGAGTATCGTTCGTTGCTCAAACTCTTTTCCGAGTTTTCCAAGGAGGGGCTTCCGTAACTTTTCTCCGACAATGAAAACAAAACGAAGTAAGGTATACAAGACAACAAGTGTCTCCGCAGAAGACGGGAATCGAGGAGCCGCGCGTCTCGCGCTCTCGCCGCTCAAAGAAAACACACTATAAGAAAATTGAATTTAAAACAGAGAGACTCTCTTGGGATTGGCAGTGACCTCAAGTAATACTTCTTTTGAACAATTTCGTCGGCGTCTTTGAGGAATTTCAAGACGAAAATCACTTTGGACCCTCACGCCGAGCGTGTGACGCAATACAAAACACTTGGTTTTTTTTTTCTTTCTTTAATTAACGAAACAAAGGAATGAGCTTGATTTACCATCGCACAAAATATGAAGTTAACTTATTTTTCAGGGCACCTTTTCGATGAAAAGAAAAAAAAAACCCTTCGACTCCTGTATCCCAAAAGCCAACCAAGCGCCTCGGAGCAAAAGTCCGACATTCACGTCGAACAAGCGATCGTCATCGGAACTCTATAGAGTCAAGACACATGAGTACATATTTGAACCGCGAGTGCACAGGTACACTAACGATGCATCAAAATCTCCTGAAATCAGGTACATATGCTTACGTAAGAGCGTGTGTGCCGTTGCACGTGAGCAACGCATCTGTCCCATCCACTCGAGTCAAGTCGTCACATATAGCAGCTCCGCGAAATAGGCACATGACACACAGACGTGAAGTGCCGTTCCTGTGATTAAACGCTCGCTCCGATCGAAATCTGCGGGGAGAGGCACAAAGCCGAGCTCTGTAAGCACGCGCCGGTCTTCCGCCTCGGAGCATACACGAAACTCTTGGGTGTGCACGTACACGTGGAATAGGACGCGCAATTGAAGTAACCTTTGGGAGCGACTCGCGATCTCGAGCGTTTATTTTTTTTTTCTGCGCCTCGTGTATGTACCAGCCCTTCTTTTCGCGTCGATGCACTCGATGTATTTGTGCAGCATCGCGTTTGCATTTTTATTTCTTCCATCCCGAGAGATGGGGAGGAGAGTCGACGGAACTCGTTGATTCGAGATCGATTGCCTCGCGTAACTGATGTATCGCCCTGTATCCGTATCCCGAGCGCGTCTGCGTTTGTTTCTCTTTACGAGAAAAAAAAAAAAAAAAAAAAAAAAAAAGACAATTTTATTTATTTGCTGTATCTACCAGTGGTTGTGCACGGCTCTCTTTATGCTGTTGTAAAGCAGCTTCAGCTTATGCACAGTTATTCGCATTCGTTGTGATATCCACGCTATTGAATTTACTCGAATCCGATTATCACGTGATGCACTGCAAACAATGAAAATCCGCAGTCGTGAAAAACAATCGATTGTCCGCCGTGTTGAAATAATATAATACCGCGCGTGAGCATAATTTTACTTTGAGCCGACGGGAGGGAGCGAGTGCACGGAAAGCCCGGCGTTGTCGATGCGCGGGATTCATTAACCAACGGAACTCGCGTTTGCCGGGCGTAAAATATTAAATGCCGTAAACATCCCGGGGATTCGGAACGCGCAAGAGTAATTTTGTTTTTTAACGAGCGGAAAATCCAACCGAGACATTAAAAGGGACAAACACTCATTTGGCGAGCTTGCAAGCTCGGTTTGGTGTTTTTTTTCGTTAACTTGGTGAAAAATTCCTCGAGTGCTACTCCAAATCCCGGTCCATACGCTTCGCGCGAGAGACGAGCCATTTCGGCCCCAAGCGTTCGTTTGCTGATCTACATAAATAGTTTTTTTTTGTCATGCAGATGTGTCATACTCTTGAGAATACATGTCTGCCTTTTTTGATGGTCGTGTAATTATTTAGTATTTTCTTTTTTTTTCACAGACGAGTACTGCTCGTGAATTTCTCTTGCGTTTTTAATTTAAATTTTTACACGATTACAAGTTCCATCGCAACAACGCCATAGTAAGCATAAAATGAGGAACCAAGTAAATGTACCTGCAGCCTAGAAATGTCAGTGTTGTAGCAAGAAAGAAAAACAAAATCAGCAATTTTATGTAGTAGAATCAGCGAAATAGATAAAAACGCATAACCTCGCACTCGAGCTACCCAAGCGTACTTATCTACTATTAACGAGAAAAAAAAAGTCCAAACGCATCACACGGTGGAGCAAAAAAACAAACAAAGGAAAACCCTATACTCGGAACATTCGTGTCACACGCTCGATTTCACGCCCATCGTCATCCACAAAAGAGTTTCCCAACTTTGCAGCACCTACAGGACGAAATCAAAAAATCAACGGCACAATAACCCCGACGTCAACATGGATTTTCCTATAGTACACGCGAACGCGCGTATTGCAGCTATATAGGTAATCGCACCTTATCGATATACACACACACACCTGGTCGATTGGCCTATAAAAAGAAGACCTTATCGTAAAAGGGGGTGGGTGTGGGTGAAAAATC